ATTATTTTTGAAAAGGTTGTTACAGATTGTAAAAGTTCGTCGTTATCTCAATGCATGTTGGCTGACGTCTTCTTTCCTCGAAATATGAGCATGTTGATGAGTTTATGTATTTGGGGTGTGCATTTAGCAAGGTAGATAGAATAACGATATAGAACAAGGTGTGAAAACACATAACATAATAAATGGGGCTCTATGTTCTATTGTGAAAAGTCAAAATGTGTATAAAAGGCACATATGGCAATTCATAATGCTATGTAAGTCGCTAATTTAATGTATAGTAATGAAAGTTGGATGTGGCAGAGGAAGCACGAAAGTAGAACAAATGCTGTAGAAATGCGGTCATTAAATTCATTAAACAGAATGACAGGGTGAGAAATTGTGTTATAAGAGAAAAGTGTTGTTTGAAATATGATGATGTGACCCGGATTAAGAAAGGAATGCTTAGGTGATTTGGTTATGTAGAAAGAATGAACGATGTAAGTATGACAAAGCTATGTTGCAGAAGTGGACGGCAGAGTCGCGAAGGGACGTCATAGACGAAATTTTGTCGACCAAATTGAAGATATATATATGATATAGGCGAAGATAGGTCATATTAATTGTACCCTTAATCGGTAAGCATGTATGAGTAGGTATATGAATGTAAAGGAGGCGACAGAGGTGTGTTAAGTTCGTGCCATATTACGTGTGTGTAGGAGTAACTATACTCCTCTGGGTAACGGGCGTGAGTGTTTATGTATGTATGCATGTGTATAAGCTATTTACCAAGTTTTGGTTCCTCCATATTTTTTCATCATAGATAATATAACGTTGTGTAAACACTGACAAAATCTGAGACTCAAGTTCACCTTATGGCCTTTCTATAGTTCGCTTAGCAAAGAGTGAGTCTCAAAATCTCAAACCCTCTTCATCACGATAATAATTTGTTAAAACCCTATGTGCCACCCGGTAAAACTTTTTATCTTTTCAAAGAAATCTCGTATTTTACGCAATGTTTAGTGGTTCAAAAATATATTTTGTTGTATATGAATGTCGCCCAGCGTGCCTTGTATATTTTTATATTTTAGGTTTATAATTTATTTGTTTAATATAATTTATTTATTTATTTTTTTTTTATAGAAGAGGGGGCAAACGAGCATGTGGCTCACCTGATGTTAAGTGACTACCGCCGCCCATGTAAATCAACCGCAACACCAGGGGAATTGCAGGTGCGTTGCCGGCCCTTTAGAAAGGAGTAAGCTCTTTTCTTGAAGGTCCCCAGGTCGTATCGGTCCGGAAAAATCACCGGTGGTAAATTATTCCACAGAGAGGTTGTACGCGGAAGAAAACTCTTTTTGAAACGTACAGTGGTGGACCGCCAAGCATCCAGATGGTGTGGATGGTATCGGGACGTTTGCCGTGTAGTGCGTTCACGAAATTTGGCGGCTGGGATTAATCCGAACAATTCCTCAGAGCACTCCCCCGTGATAGATGCGATAAAATACGCAAAGAGATGCAACATCTCTTCGCAGCGCCAGTGAATCGAGCCGATCGGAAAGCACTCGGTCGTCGACGATTCGAGCCGCTCTGCGCTGGATGCGGTCAAGTGGAAGGAGCTGGTACTGGGGAGCCCCAGCCCAGAGATGGGAACAGTATTCCATGAGCGGCCGAACCTGCGCCTTGTAAATTTGCAGGCGATGTGCCGGCATGAAATACTGTCCCGCTCTGCTGAGCACGCCAAGCTTTTTTAGAGGCCAATTTGGCCTTCCCTTCCAAGTGACCACGAAACTGCACGTCACTCGATATGTCGACGCCGAGGATTCCGATACTGGCTGAGGCAACAAGGGGAGTGCCTTGAAACTGAGGGGATACGACAAAGGGGTTCTTTTTAGCGGTTAACGCGCAAACTTGTGTCTTCTGGGGGTTAAACTGGACTAGATTTAGTCGCCCCCAATCCGAGACTCTGTCCAGCAGAGACTCGACTTCAGACACAAGTTTTTCCCGGCACTCAGAGACGTTTTAACGAGAAATATTGGCTCGGCCGGTGTAAAGAGCATCACCAGTGCTGTCATCTGCATAGCAATGAATGCTGCAGAAGAAACAGCGTTGGCGATAGCACGCAGCCCTGTGGAACACCAGCATTAATAAGCTTGCAATCGGAGCTTGCACCGTCTACAACGACCTTGATGCTCCGATCTGCAAGAAAACTGGTGATCCAATCGCACAATTTCTCGGGAAGCCCATAAGAAGGGAGCTTCGAAAGAAGCGCTTTGTGCCAAACCCGATCGAAGGCCTTCGCAATGTCCAAACTAACGGCCAATGCCTCCCCCTTGGACTCTACTGCCTCCGCCCATCTGTGAGTTAGGTAGACCAGAAGATCACCAGCTGACCTACCACGGCGAAAACCGTATTGGCGGTCACTAATCAGCTGGTGATCCTCAAGGTACCTCATGAGCTGGCAGTTTACAATGGACTCCATTGTTTTGGAGAACAAGGAGGTGATGGCGATAGGCCGGTAGTTGGACGGGTCTGAGCGGTATTTCTTTGTGTATTCGTGAAACAAATAATTTTGAATTAAATTAAAACAACACACTAACAATTTCACACACACATAGATACATTAAATCACTATCGCTCGGTGACAACGACAAATCTGAAAAAACTCGGATCAGTCGCTCGACCGATCCGCATGTTGTATGAGGGCGACCTGCGGGCGTGCGTTGGTAAACAAATCCAAAACAACACGAAATTAATTGTTGTAATCCTTTAATTTAAAAAAGAAGTAAATGGCAATTAAAGTAAATTAAAATGAAGAAGGAACAAATATGGAAAGAATAGCCCCATATCACTTGTTATATCCAAATATAATCGACATTTTATTTCAAAGAGATATAAATATTTTTTCAGACAGTGTTAGTCTATTTCAAATGAATGTTGTAAAGCATTGTAAATGAAAATAAAAATTAAAAAAACATATTTAAAATAACCTTATGTTATGGTTTTACTTAATTTTTTTTAATATGCCTTTTCTTTTAACAAAATTTAAATCTTAAACATAAAATGTTTAGTTTTGTTTTTAAATAAAATAATTGCTGTAATTTTAAGGTGTTGTACTTAATTATAATTTAAGTACATATATTAACATATATTTATATAGGGGTGGTACCACGACCTCACAAAATAACGGCGTGAAGTGGAAGCTCTGCTTCCGCGTTTGCAAGTAGCGTCGCCTGGCGAGTGCAGGTGGCCGGAGGCCCAATTTATCCCCCCCCCCCCATTAACACGGTAGCGGAATGAACGACCAAACTACTCCACTCCTGAGCGTGGGTACTCAGGCTGCTCCGCATATTCTGGAGTGGGGGAGGGGGGGCATATTCCACTCAAGACAATAACTTCTCGGGGCAATCTGAGTAACAAAACGAAAATAGAGTGTTTAAAGTTTTCGAAAATAGAGTGTTCAACAAATGTTGACGTTTTGAGGTCACAGAAAGCCACCCTGACAATTTTTCGATGGTGTATGTACCTAGGCTGCACTAAAAGTATCGGGAATGGAGTATTTCCACTGTTCCTGTCATATTAAAATCTTTTTTATTGAAAACTCCTTGGTTTTAAAAATCGAATACCATTTATTTATTTAAAAAAAAGATTCTCGGTCTTGTCACAAGGTTTTGTCAAACTTGTTTAGTCGTTGAGAAAATGGAATTGACTCGAGAAAATTCAAGAGCGATTATTTATTATGACTTTCGAAGTGGTTTAACACAAAAACAGTGTGTTGACCGGATGATTTCTGCATTTGGTGATGAAGCCCCATCCAAAACCACAACTTATCGCTGGTTTGCTGAATTTCAACGTGGACGTGTCAAGCTCAGTGATGATCACGGGGATCATCACTGAGCTCTTATAATGAATTAAATTGAAATTGATTATATTAAATTCGAAAGAAACTGCTTTTTCACTTGGTAGACGTACCTAAAATTGTAGATTTTGAGGAAATTTGGCGACCTTTTTCTATCAAGCCAAAATGTGTCAACGTTGATTTGATTACCATAATTGACTAAGAAAAATATTTTACTTTCTTATGAAAGTAAAATATATTTCTTAGTGAATTATACATTATTGTATTAGAAAAAATGTAAATTCGTAGTTATTAACGACAAAAAATTGATTTTCTGCATGAAATCAATCATCATGAAATGATATGAAGCGTGAAATATCTGCTTTTGGCACCCATTTCACCTTAAAGACTATCGAAATTTAAATATTGTATTTGAAATTTAACTGGTATTTGAAAAGGACGAAGAGAGAACGAAATGTGAAATATGGGTAAATCAGGAATGTCTAGAACAGGTAAATGAAATTGTATACCTGGGGGAGTGCTTTCAGCCGGGATGGAAGATGTGATTTAGATGTGGATAGGCGTGTCGCTGCCGGAAACAAAGTCAATGGTGCCCTGAATGCATTAGTAAAAAAGGCAAGGCGTGGTGAAGAGTGCACGCCTTGCAATACATAACGCAGTGTTGATACCGACTTTGTTATATGGCAGCGAAACCTGGGTATGCCAGAAGAAGCATAAAAGCAAGTTGAATGCAGTGGAGATGCGATCTCTTCGTAAAATGTGTGGCGTTACCATAGCCGACCGAAAGCGAAACGAAGAGATTCGCAATATGGCAGGATTGAAAGATGACCTTATCACAAAAATTGATAGCGGCGTACTCCAATGGTTTGGACACACAAATGGTGAAGAAAATATATAGAGCGAAAGTAAATATTAAGGCTGGCGTCGACTAGGCGCGCCGAGTCGAATCGAATCGAAGCGCAGAAATTCGCTCCCTATATATTTACTATAAAATTGCGTCCATATGTGAAGACCCGCGGCGCGCCGAGCCGAATCTCTCGCGCACATCGCTCTTCGAGCGATTTTTTGCGCCGGCGCGTTGCGACTCTGCTCGGCGCGCCTCAGTCGACGCAGAGGTGCGGAAGCGTGTCTTTATTAATTACGTCTATTTTTCGTCATTTTTAAAATGAATGAAGAACTTTTGATATCATTAGTCCAATCCTACTCTGAATTATACAATCAAGAAGATCCACGTTACCATGGCGACCAGCGTCGGATGAATATATGGGAGGAGATATCTAAGATTATGAATGAAACACGTGAGTTATTTACTTAGACTTTTAATTATATCAGTATATTTTATTTTCTGTATTGTATTTTATTATTGTTAATGTAGTTGCTCGAGGGACTTCTGTTGTTAGATTCCCGGTGGTGATGATTTTTTGTATGTTTGCAAATAACTTTTAACTAGGTACCTACAGTTTGCAACAAAATGATGTAAGAAAACATGGTAGCCAAATTGATCTCACATTCAAAAAGTCATATATCTATTTGTACGCGATTAGAGTATGCGTATAGTTGTCAAAGCAAAAATTTTTTCAATATATTTTCTTATTTCAATTTTTAACGACGTTCTTTATGACGTCTGACATAAAATTGAAAACATTGTTGCTTAGATGTTTTGGCCATTTTAGATGCTTAGAAGTAAGAAATTAGGGTTATAATTTTTATTGCATGTATATTGATCTATAAATTCTCTTTTATAAGTAGATTTTTAAGATAAATATTAAACTTTTATATTAATAAAATTGGGTGATGCTGTGTGATTAAAAAAAAACTCCGAAATTTTAAGTACAATTTTTATCTGTGTGTCTGTTTGTTTTGAAGTTTGTCTGAGGTAATCTTTGAAACGGCTGAACTGATTTTTTTTATGGAACTTATAAACTAAACAATTTGCGTATGTTGAAATCCCCTCCTTACAACATTCGTTTGCCATGGAACTGAACCTATCTCAGACATGAAATAATTTTTGAATTTCTCTCTGATTTCAAGTACTGTTGTTGATGCGTTGCCGCCGACTTGTCGTAAATTAATTAATCCACCGCTTGATACATTTTCCCGCAAAAATTCATCAGACCAATATGTCGAGCTATTTATCAAAAAATTATGTAAACTACATGTTGCTGCTACGACAATATTAACATGGTCAGGAGGCAAAGACAATCTTCTTTCGTAAATTCTAAATCTTCTGGCAAGTATACCAAAAGCATTTTCACTGACGCGACGAGCCCGACTCAGGCGATAATTGAAAACCTATTTTCGCTCGTTATTTACTGTTTGATTGCCTGGATATGGTCCCATTAAATACGTTTGGAGTGGAAAAGCAGCATCCCCAACAATGACATAGGGCATTGCTTCCTCTGTGCCTGGTAGACATTCATTACTCGGTACATTTAATTTTTTTTGAACAATGACTTTCCTAAAGCAGAGTTAGCAAATATGCAGCCATCTGAGTTTTTGCCAAGGCCACCTATATCCAAAAATATGAATCTGTAGTTGGCGTCAACTAATGCTAAAAACATAATCGAAAATGTTTTTTTATAACAGTAATATTTTGAACCAGTATTTGGCGGGCATTCTATTACTACGTGTTTACCATCCCATGCACCGATACAATTTGGAAAATTCCATTTATCGTAGAAAGCATGTGCAATTTCTTTCCATTCTTGTTCTGTCGAAGGCTTGGGTTGTAGTTTATTCCATATTTCTTTGCACGTCTCATACACAATTGTTCTTACAGTTCTCTCTCCCATTCTGAAGCTAAATGCCAACGATCTAAAGGAATTGACCGTAGCCAGAAATCTGAAAAAAAATATTAAACACCTTCTGTTGTATGATGTTAACTACTGCTCATATTATACTGCTCATATTAAAAAATAACAAATGTATTTTATTCTAGCAACAAAATGCAGAGAAAAATGGAAGAAGATACGCGAAAATTTTAGAAAGGCAAGTAATTTAAGGAAAACAAAAAGTGGCCAAGCGGCGAAAAATTTTAAACCCATTCGATTTGCCAAGGAGCTGAGTTTTCTCACGCCGTATATACATGCTGAATCGCAATCTCTCTCAAACGTTCCTGCACAATTAAGTGATGATGAAGAACATAGCTTCACTTCATCCACTTCAGTCAACATTGCTTCGCCAGCACATGGATCATCAACAATGTCGCCCGGATCACCTATATCAAAAACGCCACCACCGAAGAAAAAAAAACCAACAGAAAGTCTACCTGGTAGTACGCAATCCCTTTTCCAGTCTTACTTGGATAAAAAATACAGTCATGACAGACAAGAAGAAGAGGATCCCATTATAATGTTTTTTAAAAATCTTGGCCATACTGTGTCGCAGTTTTCGCCAGATTTGCGATTACGTGTGAAAAGAGCCGTGTTCAATATCGTTTGTGAAGCGGAAGAAGAAAATATTCAAAGAAATGCGACTGTTAACATCTCAACCCCTATTGCATCAAGTTCTTCAAGCAGGCAAGAATATGCAACAGATGTTGATGGATCTAGTTCACGACAGTCATACATAATTTTAAATACCAGTCAACTTCAATCTGTTGAAGGCACTTCACAAATGGCAACATCCCCGTTGCAATCGCAAACTCAAAACTATGCAAGTCCATTGAACGAATATATTCGATTTCAAAAATAAAGTATCACTATGAAAATTGATAATGGAAATAAATAAAGAATTTTCAAGTAAAAAATTGTTTTATTTTATCATACCTTAGGCATAAAGCTAGCCGTTCTTCTGACGGAATAGGCTTTCTAAATCTTGTGTTTTGTTTCTTCAGATCCAGGATGTTCAGTAACTCTTGATATTTTTCAAAGGTCATTCGGAAGTACTGGAAAAATTTGCTTGGGTCCTTTTGTAGATCAGAAAACAAATGGCAAAACTCTCCGTGGATATTTCTTTTTCTGTTGATATCATGGACCCAGTCTTTTACTGACCGCTGCTTCTTTTTTATTCTATTCTCTTCATCAAATAGAATTTGAAATAAAAACATTTCTTCATCCGAGCTATCCATCGTTAATTTATCACAATCTCCAACTCGGAGCACGGGCAAATAACTACTAGAGGATTCATTTCGATTCGACGCGACGCGTCAGTGATTAACGCACCCAGGAGGCGATTTGGCTCAGTTCGACGCGCTCGATGAGATTCGCCTCGGCTGTAGTCGACGCCTGCCTTTAAAAGGTGTCGAGGTAGACCGAGACTAACTTTCGAAGACCACGTGAGCAAATTGCTCGAAAAGGGGATGGTCAAGAGTACTCGGATACCTAGACGTGCATGTATGAAGAAGTTAATGAACCTGAAAGAAGCGAAAGAGGTATGTAAGGATCGTCACACTTGGCGATCTGTTCTCTCCGGCTACTCCGTTAGGGATTGTGCGTGAAGATAAATAAAAAAATAAAAAAAGAAATTTAAATAATACGCACACTACTTCACTAACGGCAATATAACAATGAATTTGTAACAACTGACTGCACTCGCCATAGGCTTCTCTGTCTTTGTCCTTGTCTTTACGTTGGAATTAACAACGTGCACAATGAGGACTTGTGGAGTTTACAAAACCTACACAAAATCAAAGAATGTGCTCATTAAGTTCGTTTCTGTGTAAACATTAAGGCGGCAATCAACGACCTCATCATTCGTCCAATATAAATTGAAAGAAGGACGATTGATGAGAGTAACGTATCTGCAAATGATACGTTTCGTCATCGTCAGAATACTTACTTATACATATACACTAAGTTATACACTTGCTTATATACTTATATACTTACATACTTACTTATTTACTTACTTATATACTCTATTATATTCTTACATACCTACTTATATACCTGCTTACATACTTACTTATATACTTGCTTATATATTTGCTTATGTACCTAGTTATATACCTTCTTTAATACTTGCTTATATACTTACGTATGTACTTACTACTATTCTTGATTACTTATATTATACTTGTTATACTATATTTGCTTATATACTTAATTATATATCTTTTTATATACTTGCTTAGATACTTACTTATGTATTTACTAATGTACTTATATAGTTGCTCAAATATTTACTAATATACTAACTGATATACTTGCTTTTATACTTACATATGTACTTACTTATATACTAACTTATATAAAAACTTATATACCTGCTTATATACTTAATTGTATAATCACTTATATATTTACATATACACTTAAACACTTGCTAATATACTAATATACTTAATAACATACTTTATATACATACTTATATACTTACTCTTATATTTGCTTATATACTTACATATATACTTATTTTAAAAATTGCTCACATGCTTACTTATATACTTGCTTATACACTTATTAATATACTTGCTTATATACCTACTTATTATTAAAAAGTATATAAGCAAGTATAATACCATGTATATAAGCAAGTATATAAGTAAGCATATAGACAAGTAAATAAGCAAGTATGTATACTACACTACACAATACTAATATACTAACTGATATACTTGCCTATATACTTGCTTATTTACTTGTCTATATGCTTACTTATATATTTACTTAAAACTTTCTTATATACTTGGTTTTATACTTGCTTATATACTTGCATATATACTAACTTATATATCTATCTATATCTATATATACAACAACACAGACATATATATATATATGTATATTTGTATATATATATAGATCTCTCTGCGGTAAATATTGATCAGACGCGACTACACGAGAGCACTTTGTTAATCCGAAAAAGCATGTTGATCCGGCCCAATTTGTTGATCCATTAGTACATAAGCAAGTACATCAGCAAGATATAAGCAAGTATATGAGCAAGTAAATAATTAATATATAAGTAAGTATATAAGTAAGTATATAAGCAAGTAAAGTATAACAAGTATAATATAAGTAAACAATTATAGTAGTAAGTACATACGTAAGCATGTAAGCAAGTATATAAGAAGGTATTTATGTAGGTATATAAGCAAGTTTATAAGCAAGTATGTAAGCAAGTATATAAAAAGTTTTGTGGCCGAAGTAGGAAAAGGGGAGATCTCCCGCCGGGCAGGGTGTTCTGCCCGGGGGAGCGCTCCTGAGGAAGTTTTTATGCGTTTATGATCGGATGAGGTGATTTGCTTCGGTGTATTTCGTGCACGATAGCGGTTTATAAGTAAGTATATAAGTAAGTTTATAAGCAAGTATATAAGTAAGTAAATAAGCATTTAAGTAAGTATATCAGCATGTATATAGGCAATATAAAAGAAGTTATTAAGTAAGTATATAAGCATTCCGCCTACGGTAGCGTAGGCGGAAGAGTAGGGAGTGGAATTTGTGGTGAAGTCGGAGATAGCGGAAACGGGAAGAGCGGGGTCAGAAGTGGATCAACCTGAGTTTATAGTGGAGGTGGAGAGAATAGTGACGACGGGTGGTGTTGGCGGCGGAGGGAGCGGAGTTTATGGTGGAGGGGAGGGAGCAGAGTTTATGGTGAAAGCGGAGGATTAGAGCGTGTGCGGTGTGGAGGCGTAGACGGCGGAGGTGGTGGTCGACGCACTGGAGTGCAGTACAGTGAGGACCGCTTGCGGGCAAGTGAGGTGGTTACAGCGAGGGACAGTGTCGTTAGTTAGTGTGTATCGATACTGCCCATAAAGATGTTACTACGAGTTTATTCATTTTATCGAATATCAGCTTGGCTACAAAACGAGCCCAAGCTCTGCACACCTAGTTCTTACTCGTCCAGGAGTTCCCGTAGTTGTCACTAAAGTGCACTTTCAGATCACTCCGTCTAGACCAGAGGTAAGGTCTCATCATCACTAACACAACGAGCCGCACGACACGAACGAACACACACGAACGCACATACATCCACACGTACGTGCACACACAAACAAACACAAACACACACACACACACACACACACACACAACGACACACACACACACACACACGCGCGCGCGTGTTGTGTGCCTGCAATCATCCGAATACGCCACGATAATGATATATGTATCATTATTTTTCCCGTAAAACAGCGCAATAAATGAAAATATTATAACTATAATATTAATTCGTTGATAAAAACAATTTCTAGTAAAAATACATATTTGCAAGTTTGTGAAGCTAAGAAGTCTTCACTTCTGACTTGTAGCCTTTTGACCAGCAGTTTTTTACATTTATTTTAGCTTACTTTCAATGGTTTGTTGTTACAAACCGAATTGCTCCTATTTATTACAAAAAGCTGTTTCTGTTTATACAGCAATCTCGTAACATTTTATTAAATTCTTTCGAAAGGTTTGTTTAAACAAATTTATTTATTTTTGTATTAAATAAATTCTAAGGTTGATTGACAATTTATTCCATACCACGTGGCGTCGGTTTGATTGTCAGTTCAATTATACGCATCGCTTTATTCTTTCCATTTGTATGTATGGAACGTATATTTTTTTTATTATCTAAATATTTCTAAGTAAGTAAGCTTGTAATACCAGCTACTAGACTCGCAGTAGGGAAATGTGTGCTTTTGCAACAAAATCAGAATAAATGTAGTTACATAATGTGTCATTAAATAAGTCTTAATGTTTTACTAAAGAAAAAACTGTTCAGAAGGGGTTATTTTAGTATCAAAGAATACATAAATGAAAACAACCCCTGTAAATGAGGTAATCGCTGCTGCACCATGCTGGTTCTGTAACAATTCAAAGTGTAAATAATAAATTATTGTAAAGGGAAATATGTTTAAAAGAAGTCTCGTTGGGTTTCTTTCGGGTTTTTTCCAGGACAGAGGGTTTTTTCCGAACAAATGATAAAACAAAAAATTATTTTCAATAAGTATTATGCAATAATCTATATTGAATAATCATCCATTTCATTTAATTTTTAAAAAACTATTTGAATACGTTGTAAAATCCTTCTAAACGGTTGCGTATTATCGACTCATGCCACCATCTACTTGTAATTTCGTTGGACTGCCTGTTATCACAACTTCTGGCACTAAGCTGCCTTGTGAAATACCTTGGCACAGGTGTTATGTAACGGTATTTATCAATTATCGTTACAGGTTACAGCCTACCACAAATCCAAATTTAAACATGGGCCTTCTCTACTGTTTAATTCTGTCGTCTCTTAAGATGTGCACGGGATGATACAGTGTAGTGAATATTTATAAACCTCCACTACACGGTCAACCTTAGGTTGACTGTATTTATGCCCTTTGATTTGACGTTAACTACAAATAAACTCATAAAACTATTGTGCTACAACATTTATGAAAAATAAATAAAACATATTGAACATGAAGCGTATTTTTATGTTAAAGCTGCGAAAAAATAAATCACGATCTGTGCTTGTAAGAAGTCCGTTGGCTAAGATTTATGACATTGTTTATATATATATATATAGTTGCGGAATTTATAAATATTTTATATGGTATTGAAACTTGACTTGAGTTTCTAACTGATTGTGTATCTTAATTGGTGTTGCGACTATTAAGAAGTAAGATGGAATGCCACATTGTGTCTAAATATATTGAAAGAAAAAATAGTAGAAATAGATACAATAGTGTTAGAGGTAAGCCCAGAAGACTTACAATATGAAAATGTACGCAAGAATAACGTTCTCTAATTGGCTTTATAACACGGTCTGTATAG